ACTCCTCCGCTTGCTTGCGGAGTGAGGGCTGGGGCACTTGCCAGCTCAGAGGGCGAGCCCGGGCTGGGAGGCAGTGCCAGATCGCTTGCTGAATGCATGCTTAGATACAGGGAGATGCTTCTGCTTGAAGCGCTGGGTAAGCAGGCAGGCAGAAGGGGCAGGGTGTTTGCAGGGAAACGAGGAAGAAAATGACAGCAGTGAGCAGGAGCCCAGCTTGTGAGTGTGCAAGGTGACATGGGCAAAGCTGGGGAGCAAGGGGAGAGTAATCCTGTCTGGTTTCCACAGCAGAATTACACACAGCGGTGTTCTGTGTTTCCCAGTAGAGCCACACTTCTAACTTCTAATGAGTTCCTTAACCTTTAGCTGGGGAATAAGTCTTTGGTGCTTGTGGCTTACTTCTCAGTCACTCCTTACGGCTCTACTTTTATTTTTCCTGCACCCTGGGGGAGAAAGGGGTTTGGATGTGGTTGCTGAAAATACTGAGTCCGCTTCTGTGCTCATGCAGGAAATCGTATCCTAACACTTGGGGAGGTCCCAAAGGATCAAGTCTATGCCTTGAAGCTCAAGGGGATTTCCATCTGCTTCTCTATGCTGAAGGCTGCGCTGAGCGGGAGCTACGTCAACTTTGGGGTCTTCCGTCTCTACGGGGATGATGCACTGGACAATGCCTTGCAAACTTTTATCAAGCTTCTGCTTTCCATCCCTCACAGTGACCTCCTGGTAAGCGGACACCTGCGATTAGCAGTGTAAACACATGGCTAGGGAGGCAGGGGTGGAAGATTATACAGTGAAGGAATACTTTAATCACAGAGACAAGTGAGCTCGTGCCACTTGCTGGAACCCCAGTTATAGGCACAGGCTGGTAGGAAATTACAGCTCCTGGAATGTGCAGCGGCAGGTCCTGCGTGAAGGCTGCAACCCCAGCACCCCAGGCCCCGCTGGGCAGCCCCACTGCTCGCCTCTCCAGCGGGTTATGCTCCAAGTCTCAGCAGAGCAATTACCAAAATAATTCCTGCTCTATCTGAAACACACTTCCTGCCAGTGAAGGATTGTTCTTTCCTGTATTGCTTGTGGGCAGAGATCTCGATGCATCAGCAATTAGCGCAACTTGCTTGCTGAAGACATCCACCTACGGAGTCTTGCTCCTGTCCAGACCTCGTACACAGAAATACATTTCGCGGCAGAGCTTTGAGAGCCTCCCAGCGCAGTCCTACTTGGCAAAATATCAAGGAGAGAGGGCAACATATATTCCTCCCAGGTCTTATCTGTCTTATTATTGTAGCAAGATCTGGAAGAAGGTGTTGCCATCCCTGCAACTGCATTCAGCACGTTCTTAATTTAACATACTGTCAACCAAACCACTGCTCTTGAGACAGGCAGCTCTAACGCACCTCGTGAGATGGGGCCGCTCCGCAGGACCCCCAGGAGAGTCTCCCTCGGTCTGGGGGCTGCCGAGGGGTCTGTGGCCCTGCCTGCAGTCCAGGCTGCTGAGCCCAGCACCGCGCGCGTTGATTTTGATGTGATCTGGCACTCGGCGTGGACACCTGGAGAGCCCTGCCTATCTCTGCATCTCCAGCGCTGGCACTAGTCAGCTAACACTCCCTGTTTAGAAAAGAGCGAAGCGGTGGGGAAAGATGTTTTGATCTAACAGCGTCGGGAACCTGCTGGGCCATTGTTGCTGCAGCCTGTTTGGAAGGCTCCTGGGTGGGGGAGAAGGGGGGAGATATGTTGGCCCATAAGTTACGCTGTGAGAGAGGTTGGTTTGTTCTCTTTCCAGCAGATGCAGTAAGCAGTTTTCAGGTGATTAATGAATGGGTTGGGCTGAGCAGAAAGCTTTAACTGATGGTTACAGGCTAGCCACGAGGCCTTAAAAAGTCTCTTCCTTTCTCTTCCTTTCTCTGCAGGATTATCCCAAGCTCAGCCAGTCATACTATTCCTTGCTGGAAGTTCTTACCCAGGACCACATGAACTTTATAGCCAGTCTGGAGCCTCATGTAATCATGTATATTCTCTCTTCCATTTCAGAAGGCCTCACTGCACTAGGTAACTCCTCCTGTTCTCTGTTTGTGCTCTTAGGGCTTTGATTTGGAAGCAGGGAAAGATTTTGATCGCTTTGCATGTGTGGTATTTCAGGGTAACAGATAAATGAAGGCATACGTGGTGAATGGGTGGAGGAGTTTCACCTCTGGTAAAGCTGGAACATTAGAGATAACGAATGTGTCAGTGAGGAGGTTTCTGACCTGTTTAGGGTTAGGTGGTTCTCGCTTGCAAAGCCCCTAACAGGACTCAGATGAAAGGTGGTGTTTCCCTGGGAGCCTGCCCAGGTACATTTGAGCAAAGGAAATGCTGGAAGTACCCCAAAATCTCCCCCTTTTCCTGTTCTTGCAGACACCATGGTTTGCACAGGCTGCTGCTCCTGTTTGGACCACATTGTCACCTATCTCTTCAAGCAGCTCTCTCGCAGCACCAAGAAGAGGACCACACCTCTGGCCCAGGAGAGCGACCGGTTCCTGCACATCATGCAGCAGCACCCGGAGATGATTCAGCAGGTAAAGACCAAAGGCGTAGGGCCTTGTTGTGGCACGGCACGGTAAACTCCCCGATAAGCCCTGAATTTTCTTAGCATGATGTAATATGGGGGCTGCATGCTCCCTGCTCTAGAGCCCCGGGCTTTTCCAGAGCAAAAAGGATTTTTTTGCTAGTATTACATCTCTCCTACTCATTCACTGTATGGTAGGTCTGATTCAAAGCCATGCTGAGGGCCATGGTTCCCTGTGCGCAAGGAACACCGTGTTAGCATTTCAGATATGAAAGGAAGTAGCCAAAAATGAGCTTTTGTCTTTAAAAAAGCAAGAGGAATACAGTTATGGGTGGTGCTGGCAGTTCATAGAAATGAAGCCAGGAAACATAGCTTCAGCCAGAGAGCATGTGCTCTGCTGCTGCTTTAAAAAGATCAGTTTAAATCCCTGGAACAATTCAGTGGTGCGTGTGCCCTCCCAGCAGAGCGGGTGCCGTGGGCTCCCCAGGCTTAACGAGGCTCTGTGTAGACTCCAGCAGACGGGAGCGATCTCTCTGTTCGTGTTGGGACCACGTGAAGGTTGCGTTTGCAGCCTGTGCTGCCTTGGCACCGCTCACGCCTGCCTTCAGAACGGCCTCAACGGGCTGAGTGTGATAACCGAGGGTTTGTTCATGCTGGTGGCACATCTGCCATCTGTCTCCTGCCTCTATCCACAACACCTCTGCTAGGCACAGTGTTTGCTGGGATTTGTCCTCTCTCTGGGTCAGGAGCTGCGCAGCGGCAGAGGATCAATACTGAGCTCAGACATTTCCCTTGCTTAGATCAGGCTTAGCTCGGCGTGTCCCTACGCGTACCGCAGGGTTTAGGTGCCTCTGTCTCACGGAATGACAGATGATTCTGCTCACGGAGGTTTTGGTGCTCCAGAGGTTGCTGTGTTGGGATCTGGATATCCGTATCTCAGAGCAAAACCACTCCTGTATGCCTCTCGCCTTTGAACAGCAGCTCTGATGGTGTGATCCAGCCTCGCTCGCTGGTGCTTGTCGAAGTGTCAGCACGACTCCCACGTGAAAGCAGGGAAAATTATTCCATCCTTGCTGTAGATCAAATGCAAAGAAAAGCAGAGGGGGTTTTTTTAGGACTAGAAGCTGTGTTTTCTGAGGGTAAAAAGAGAAACTGCATCTTCCAAACCAGGGGTAGGTGAAAACTAGGTTAGAGCCTGGCTTTAGCCTAAGGAGGCTGTGGGAAGGAACGCAGACACCCCTCGTGTGGGCTAGAGGAAGCTCCTCAGGGCACCAGAGCACGTGCTCGCTGCGTTTCAGCATTTGCTGTTATCTTGTTTAAGTAAAAATGAGACAATCTTTCCCCTGGCTGCCTTGGGGCAGGATGGAGTGTGTCATAAATATTCTAACAGCTTTCAGCACCTCCTCCCTGTGCCTTCGGTGAAGTTCTCCACCAGTCATGGGGCTCCAGGTCCCACTCTTGCAGCATTGAGGCTCCAACAGCGGAAGCATCGAAGGGGAATCGTTGCTCCTGAGCCTGCCGTGGCGAGGAGAGAGCTGGGATGGGCTTAAACCTCCCTTTCCCTCCTCCAGATGCTGTCGACAGTTCTGAACATCATCATCTTTGAGGACTGCAGGAACCAGTGGTCAATGTCTCGGCCTCTGCTCGGCTTGATACTGCTCAATGAAAAGGTGAAGGTCCCCCCTGCCCATCGCGGCCGGAGGAGGTGGTTGGAAAGTCGGGACTTGGGGAGATTGTGTGTTGAGGGAAGGGTGTGCAGCCTTGGTGCTCAGGAATCCTGTTAACTTGCATTTATAAGGGCAGGAGAAGTCTCCTGAAGAGCTCTGAAGTTTCCTCTCTCATCCTGAGAGCCTTTCATGGCCATTCCTCTGAAAATTAACCCCTCCTTCTCGTCTCCCGCAGTATTTCTCTGACTTGAGGAACAGTATAGTGAACAGCCAGCCTCCGGAGAAGCAGCAGGCGATGCACCTCTGCTTTGAGAACCTCATGGAAGGCATCGAACGCAACCTCCTCACCAAGAACAGGGACAGGTCAGTACGGACCAAAGCCCCGGTTTTGGTGCGCTGAGCCCATCGCTCAGCACCAAAGCACAGCCCGGAGAGTCCGTGGCCCTTGTGCAGAGCAAAACACCGGAGGAACGTGCAACCTCCTGCTCCAACGCGCTGCTCTGCCTTTTCCTTAGGTTTACACAAAACCTGTCGGCATTCAGGCGAGAGGTGAACGACTCCATGAAGAACTCCACCTACGGCGTGAACAGCAACGACATGATGAGCTGACGTCTCCCAACTCCACCTGTACAGAGCAGCATCTCTTTGGCCTGGCCCAGAGGGGTTACCGTTTCCGATGGAAAGAAAAGGAGGGTGTTTCTAAACCCTGCTCTTCCCCAGGGCTGGATTGCGGCGCTCGCTTTGGGCCGTACTCCACGTCCCGAGGGAGGAGGGAACAGGAGGGGTTGTTGAGCTCACCGGGGCAGGGTGCTTCTGTTTCCGTGGGAGGGGGTGGAAAGGGCATAACCCAGGTGCAAGAATCCAGCGTCTCCCTACCCGAATGTCTGCGTGGAACGCCAGCGCTCTGCTGCAGCCTGCCTTGTATAAACATGTACATTTTTTCATAACATTTTGAACAAGGTTTATATTGACTCAGTTTAAAAAAAAAAAAAAAAAAAAAAAAAGAAAAAAAAACCAACAACAACAACAAAAAAAGTGTGATTGAAATTTTTACAGAGTCCTGGTGCACCGGTGCTGGCGTGAGGGTTGTGTATGCGAGTGAGGAAAGCGTGTCCTGCAGGCCTGAAGCTTTACTGGGCAAGGGGTGGGTGTGTGAAAGTGCAGAGATATATTTAGTGACAAGTGTAGAGAGAAGCAAAAAGAAAAAAAAAAAAATTCAACAAAAAAAAAGGCATTGTAAAATTCCAAATGTATATTTTTTCTTATTAAGCCCCTTGAAATCACAACTTCCCGTTACCATCTTGCCCTTGTTATTAGGAACTCTAAGCCATGCCGCGTGATCTTTCATTCGTGCTTGCTCGTGGGTGTCT